AGAGTCAATTTCAGATCTATCATGGCATGCAAGTAACATATCATCTACATATAAGAGCAGATAAACAGATTCAGGTCCTCCTGACCCTTTGAAGAAGAAACAAGAATCATACTTGCTTCTAGCAAAACCCAGTTTCTGAACAAAGGTGTTGAATTTGATATACCACTGCCTGGGAGCTTGTTTTAGTCCATAAAGAGACTTTTTCAGTAGGCAGACTTTATCAGCTTTGGATTTTTCCACAAATCCCTCTGGCTGATTCATATATATAGTTTCAAACAAGTCACCATTTAGAAATGCTGTTTTAACATCAAGTTGATCCAGTTCCCAATTAAAATGAGCAGTCAGTGCTAGCAAAATTCTGATAGAGGTATACTTAGCCACAGGTGAGAAAATCTCATTATAGTCAATTCCTTCCTTTTGAGTAAACCCCTTAGCAACTAGCCTAGCTTTATACCTCTTAACTTCAGAGTCAGAATCCCCTTGTTTTATCTTATAAATCCACTTGCAATCAATAACCTTCTGATTATCAGTTCTGTCAACTAAGACCCAAGTTTTATTTTTCATAAGAGAATCCATTTCTTCTTTCATAGCTTCTTTCCAGAGATCAGAATCAGAACAGTTTACAGCATCATTAAAAGAGACAGGTTCTGAATTTACAGAGTCAAGTGCAGAGAATAAAGTCACAAAATCATCATTACTGAATCTAGTTGAAGGTCTTATTTCTCTTCTTTCTCTATCTCTGGTTAACTGATAATTCCTGAGGGCAGGTTCAGAGGGTTCAGGCTCACTTTCAGACTCAGTAGGTTCAGGGAGAGGATCAGATGGAACAGGCTCCACCTCAATAAGATCATTTTGAACACCAACACTTTCAGATTCCTCTTCCAGAATAGTATCTTTAACAGGTGTAGGTTCAGGAGTTCTTTTATTTGTAGAATCATAACAAGGCATGTCATCTTCATTAAAAATAACATTTCTACTGATAATGACCTTAAAACCATTTTGGCATTTGACCCATAGTCTGTACCCTTTGACATCTTCCCCATATCCCAGAAAAACACATTTTAGGGATCTAGGTTCAAGCTTACCTTCACTTTGATGTGAGTAAGCAGTGCAGCCAAAAACTTTTAATCTAGTATAATCAGAAATTTTACCAGACAACAGTTTTTCAGGGACTTGAAAATCAATAGCACTAGAAGAAGGGATCTAGGGTCAAGCTTACCTTCACTTTGATGTGAGTAAGCAGTGCAGCCTAAAACTTTTATTCTAGAGTAGTCAGGAATATTTCCAGACCACAATTTTTCAGGGACTTGAAAATCAATAGCACTAGATGGACTTCTATTAATAAGATAGGTGGCAGTTTTTAGTGCTTCACCCCAGAAGAATTTTGGAAGGCCAGAACTGTAAAGCATACATCTTACTTTTTCCAAAAGATATCTATTCATTCTCTCAGCTACTCCATTTTGCTGAGGTGTATATGTTACAGTTCTATGCCTTAAAATCCCAGATTCTTTACAGAAAGTATCAAAATCAGAGTTGCAAAACTCAAGACCATTATCAGTCCTTAGTGCTTTGATTTTCATATTTGTTTGGTTTTCAATCAATAGTTTCCATTGTTTAAAGACTTTAAAGGTGTCAGATTTGTGTTTTAACAGAAAGGTCCAGATTTTCCTTGAAAAGTCATCAACAATAAGTAAGTAAAATCTGAAGCCACTTAGAGTATTTACAGAAGCTGGCCCCCAGAGGTCAGCATGTAAATAGTCCAGAGTGGAGGAAGATTTATGTGTTCCAGTTTTAAAAGGTAGTCTTTTCTGTTTTCCCAAAATACAGTTTTCACAGAAATCCAACTGTTTAATTTTATCTTTGCCAAAACAACCAAGCTTATTTAAAATATTAAGTCCCTTTTCAGATATATGACCAAGTCTCTTATGCCAAATAAGAGATTTGTTAGATTTAAAGTTTAGGGCTGCAGAGCAGTGGTAGTTACTGGGATCAGCAGAGACAGTGTAAATCCCATTCAGTTTCAGAGAAGATATGACAGTTCTGTTTCCTTGTTTAAGTCTTAAGAGACCATTTTGAATCACTATAGTGAACCTGTCATCTAATTGTCCTAAGGAAATCAAATTTCTCTTTAATTCAGGGACATATCTGCAGTTATCAAGTTCAAGGATGTAGTTGTTCATAGACAACTTGATCTTTCCAATTCCCTTTATCAGACAACTCATGTCATTTCCCATTTGAATTTGTCCTTCACTAAGCTCAACAAATTCAGAAAAGTATTCCTTATTGGGACACATATGGAAAGTGCATCCAGAATCGAGAACCCATTCTTTTGGATCTCTTTTAGTAGTGTTTACAAGAACAACTCCTTGAATATCAGGATCATTCTTGCAGATTAGGGCTGTAGAATCCTCATGGTAGTTCTTGTCTTTCATATCAGAGATTTTCTTAAAACAGTCTTTGATAATGTGGCCTGTTTTACCACAGTAGTAGCATTTCCTGACAGGATTTTTGGATTTCACATGAGTTTTGTTCTTGTCTCTGAATCTGAAATTTTGAGGCTTAGGTTTTCTGTGAGGATTGAAGTTGAAGGTAGGTATCCTTTTATTTGGGTTCCATTTTTCCTTTATGTGTAGTCCTTCTCCATATTTAGGATCTTTTGATTCCACTTTCAACTCAAGTTCTTTATTCCTTAAAGCTGAAGAAACACTGTCAACAGTGAGATCCTGACCACCATATTCTAAAGCAGTTCTGATGTCTTTATATTTATCACTAAGAGAGTTTAAGAGGGCAACAACTTGTTGATCATCAGAAAGTTTCTCATCACAGTTTTCTAAATCCTGAATTAATTTTGTGAATCTGTCAAGGTTCTCTTCCAAATCAGATGAAGGGTCAAATCTAAAATTGTAAAACAGTCTCAGAAGGTAGCACTTATTAGTCATAGACTTTGTTAGATAAAGATTTTCCAATTTAGTCCATAGGGATTGAGCAGAGCTAGTCTCACCAACTTTTCTAATAACATTGTCAGACAGATGCAAGAAAATAGAGCTCCATGCAGTATCATCTAGTTCCTGCCTTCTATAGGCACTAGTTTCTGCAGCCCATTGACCATTAAGGGCTGCAACACATCTTTGCTGAAGTAAGATGGCCCTCATCTTCTGGCGCCAGAGACTAAAGTCTCCAGTACCATTCCAAGTTTCAAGTTCAAACTTATGTGTAGAGGACATGATGACAGATAATATTCACAAACTACAATTGTACAGCACACAGCGTATAATGATTCAGGCAATGAGTACAATTTACCCCACAAGTATAGGAGTGGTAGAGACAGTAGAATAGATATAAGTATATGTACTTAACAATGCAATTCACAGAGAACAAACAATTTGCAATTTAAAGAAAAACATTAGGTCTCAGTTTTGAGCAAGGTTTAAGGGGTGACAACCCTTTGAACCCACTGCTCCCTCAGATTCCCAGACCCTCGCAGGAGGTCTTGGACAAAGGAAAGCAGTGGAGAATTGCTTACCTTAATAACCTAGTTCAAAGACTGAACAAGTCCCTCGCTGGAGGTCTTGGACAAAGGAAAGCAGGGGAGAATTGCTTACCTTAATAACCAAGTTCAAAGACTGAACAGTTCTTTACAAAGTGGGTTTTGAGATAAGTTACCAGATTCTGAAACCTCAATGTTTCAGAGTGAAGAAGCAGTAAGAGAAGTACCAGAATCGTTCCAATGTGCCTTATGTTGTATGCAGGACAGCAACAAGTCACCAAGACTCAGTAAGGACAGTAGTGAGTCACAGACTCAGTCAAGGATTTGAAAGATTTAATCCCACTCGTTGACTCAGAACGAGTCAAGAAACAGAGTCACTAAGACTCAGTAGAGGACAGACGATTTACACTGAGTTACTACGAGTTAAAGGTGAGTTGACATAAAATTTTACACAGAACCACTCGACTAACCAGGAACCCAGATCTGAGCAAGAAAGGTAGAAAAAACCAAGAACCCTAATTTTAGGAAATAGCTCTGATACCACTTGTTAGGTCCCAAATCACCAGATCAGAGGATCGAAGATCACAAAACCAAAATATAAGTGCAGAAAGTAAAAAATAACGCTTGAACACAAGATTTTTCCCCCCGTAGGGTCCGGATGTTCGGTCACAAAGACCTACTCACCCGTTGAGCATCCACTGAGGATATAGCTCTAGATCCACTAAGTATCAACCAAGAAAAGGTACAAATGTTCGAAGAAACCGAAGGTTTCTTCGTATCAATCTAGCCTCAACTATTACAGACTCTACAATCACTAAGAACTCAACCTTAATCCATACACTACAGTACAGACTTCACCAAGAACGATTGATCAGAACACAAAGCAATTTACAGTGAACGAATCACAGAAGAAACCCTAATCTACACTCAGAGAAAAGGGGAAACAGAGAGTCCAGAGAGAGAGACGAATGATCTCGAATGAATCATCCCAAGGCACCCCAGAAGTCAAGTAATGAGATAAGTCGATCAGTTACAATCCAAGGGTGGATAATCAGCCAGGTGTCTGATCTAAAGAACCAAGGAGGCCAGGCTCCAAAGCAGGCCCAACGATAACAGTGGCCCAACAGCAATAGTATAGTGAGCCAGCCCATTACTCACTTAACAAACCTGTTTATAAACACTTCTCAAACATGCTCCAATACTAGTTGTGTTATTTCTTGGTTGTTCGACTAGAGGCCTCTGTGAATATCGTAACAAATGAATTGGATTTTATCATATCTGATGGAAGAACTGTTGGTTGGAAATTTATGCATTATTTCTTCATCAACAACAATAAGTTAATTTGCATACTACTATGTAATTGAGAGAAGTGCAAGTTAAGCTAAACAGGGATGATCACCAATCATTATCAAGGTACAAATAAAAAAAAAATGTCAAAAGAAAAGAAATAACTGAGTCTACTCTGAGTGACATTATTAGTGAATTATACATATGTGGTTTTATTTCAGAACAATCAAGGACGGGTTGTCTTTGATGGAGAGTGAACATCAGCCGGTGGCACTCCAGGTCCGGGGAAGCCAGGTGTGGGAAGGAAGGGAAATGGAGGGAGAGGAACAAATGGAAACGACGGTGAGGGTGGTGGTGGAGATGGAGTTAGACCTGGTATTAATGGTGGGAGGTTGAAAGATGGTGGCGAAGGTGTAGGGAGAATTGGAGGCAATATTGAAGGAGGTGGCGATGGGAAAATTGGAGGAAATATGGATGGTGGAGGCTGAAATGGGATCGGAGGAAGTATGGATGGCGGTGGCAGTAAGGGGTTGGGAGGAAGTATAGATGGTGGTGGCAGCAAGGGGTTGGGAGGCAGTATAGATGGTGGATTAAGTGGATTTGGCGGGAAGAAAAAAAAATCAGTCACTTTTTTATCTACTAATTCTGATGCTACTGTAGAGTCCAAGGGTGTTGTTTGCTTTCTGGGCATTGCTGGTGGCAAATTTGGAATTCCTGGAACTGATGGCAGGTTGGGAAGCTGGGGCAGAGGCGGCAATGGTGGCAAGAGTTGGCCTAATGCCGGTGGATCAGACGGGGGATCTTGAATTGGTGGTGCAAAGGTAGGATCATTAGGATTTGAAATTGAGGACTTTTCAGAATCCAATCCTTTTGAATTCTTGATTACTGGTTTTTGATCACATAGTTCTGGCTGTTTCAATGGCTTGAATGTGAAAAACCCTGCTGAGTAAATGTGCGTCCCTTCCTTTCTTGATTTGAGATGTAAAGAAGAAGAAGTTGCGGTGGCAGCCACCGCGCAAAATGGCTCTCCACTACTGATTAACTTCACAGAGCATCCCTTGATCTTCTTCACATGTTTGCTCACTGAGAAAGGTAAATTAACCTTGAATTCTCCATGTTCATTTGTTTTCACTTCCAGTCGAAAACCCGGCCTTGAACCTGTGACCTCACATTCTACTGCAACAGATGCACCTAAAAAGGAGAAATTCTTGATCAGACGTTATCCCTATTAGTACATACTCATTGACACTTGAAGAGTGTGTAGACCGACATAAAAAATGGAGAAGAAGAAGAAAGAGGAGACGAAACCTGAGATGAAGTGACTGGCCTTGGAGAAATCTTGGTGGAAGCACGTGTCACAGTAGACAGTGCCGACAACAACTGCAGAATGAAGCTCGTTTTGGTGTTCAGCTTCTGAGAGGTTAAGGAATATGAAACTAAGCAAGATGATAGTCCAAAGACAAGACATTATAAAACCTTCAACAACTCTGGTCTGTATGTAAAACTCTACTGCGTTTCAAGTATGAAAATTAAAGCAGGATTGGCAAGAATGCTGAAACTTGCCAAAAGATTGTGTGGTAGTATGATTTGTATTATTTTATTAATTCTTCTATCCTTCGGTTTGTATAAGATGGGAACCATGGCTCCTTCAAACCTTAAATAAAGGGAAAATTTTACTTTGGGTTCCCAACTTATTGTCTGAATAGTAAATTAGTCCTTAAAGAAAAAGCAAGTCCATACCTAATTGCAAAATCAGTCCTTATTGGTGGAAACAGTTCAAATCTCGGTTAAGTCAGTCACATGACTTTACACGATCAACTTTATAAATAAAGCTAAATTTTGCTTTTTAGCCCAGCTGTTGCCTATGAATTTGAAGCAATGTATGTTTTGGGATTAGACATAGATCAACTCGAACAATAATTTAGGGACCAACTGCAATTTTCTCTTCTACATACACAACCCACCCCCAACCCAAATCTCTTAATGTCATTCATGCAGAAACAAGTGAACTGCAAAAAGGAAATTCTCTTGCCTTATCTTCATTTGCTTGGTTGTTTTGGGTTTTATCTAATTTTCTTGAATTATTTATTCGGTTAAAAATAGGTGGAGGGACTGTAGGGGTCCCACTTGGTTCACGAGGAGCTTATAGCAGCCAATTCATGAGTATTGACTGAGTCCCAATGTGATAACTGAATATTAGAGTGAAAATGCCATATGCATGGTTTTGCATTCTATCTCATCCCACATTTCTTGCCGATGGATTACCACATGATACTTGTTGTAATTCTCTTTAACTCTTTAAACGAAATCGGGAAAGCCTGATTTGTGAATTCCTCCAAGTACTTTTCGTGCTATTATTTGAGAATGTGCATCTCTCTCTGCGTCTGAAAAATGAGACCTGACACATCTTATTCGACTTAAAAAATGGAAATCGGTGCAAAATGGTGCATGTGTCAAGCTCGAAGTCTTACCAGATCATTGACTTGGGTTCGAGTCTTAATGTGATCAAAAGTAAAAACTTGGATATGAACGGTCGAGATGTAGAGTAAATATTTTTGCTTGGTTATTGATTTTGTACACCAAGTTCGACTTTCAATTGATCTCTTTGAAATATTTTAATTCGAGTTGGTACTCATTCGAAGTTTAAAACATTCACACGTCATTGTCACAAAACCTTGGGCGACGACGATTTGCACAAATTCTTTCGTAGAGTAAAAACAAGCCAGCATTTATAGTTTATGTCATGGGGGTCGCTCTTTCTTCACGGGTTCAGAAAATAAAACCGACTTGGTACATTCACGGGATTTGATTTTAGAAAAGTGTAGAATCATAAAGGGGACAAATTTATGTTTCGTGTCCGCTTGTGGAAATTTATGCATTACTATTTGTTTGTTTGTAAGCAATCCAATCAAAACACACACGCACACACACATATATATATTTTAATTCTTATTATACTTCAATTAATTATTAGTTGATAATGTTCTTTCTAATCGCAACCATTATTCTTTAGTTATCTCAAATTGAATCAAGATTATCAATCCATCCTTGACTATGGTAGGAATTCTTGTCCCACAGTTTAGTCTGCTCGAGCGGCCAAAGGCCTCTTTTCTTGCATTTGGCCTCACTTGAGCAATGAAATTTTCGAACTTGACTTTGAAACGTGTCGATTCCTCTTGTTTTCATTATTTTTTCATGAATAAACAGAAGCTAAGAAAAAATTAATAGAAATTTAACTCGATAAACTAATAAATGTTTCGTTCAATGGTCTATTTATACCGTATTCCAACAATATTTTCTTGTACGTTTTTTCTTTTATTATTTTCTCAATTAGGACGACGATATTGGCTTGGCTGGCTGAATAGATTGATTTGGTTGAGCTTGCTTTCTGATATGTCTATCCTTTGATTTGATGGTATGCTTTCAAAAAGTATCATTTCTGTTTGAAACAACACATTCATAATTCATTGTTCCTCCTTGCTAACAGACACGAAAGTTCCAATCTAGTGGCCAGAAAACCTCCAAAACTAGAATCGTCCTACCAACACCTTTCTCATGTGTTCGCATTCCCACAAGTCCATGTGTCCTTATACTTTTTTTTTTGTTGATGTGGGAACCCGCAGGGGCGGAAGCCTGACCATTGTGAGTGTGCATTAGGTAAACCCCGCTTCATGTGCAGTAGTCCGCAAATTACACAAGAGAGGTAAACCGCACTAGGCAAGTCCGGTGCGACTAGCTCGATCGATAAAGTGTGGGTAGGGGATTCAAATTCGTGACCTTTGGTCTTCGGGTTCACCTGCTTCACCAACTCGGCCACCCTCCAAGGGGCTCATGTACTTGAAATTACGTCAAGTAGAGGGAGTTAATATCTTATGCTTATAACAGCCTAACAACAGCCAGGTGAAAAGATCACGCGTGAACAATTATGTATCATGTGTGCACTTGATCTACCAAGCATGGTCCCATTTTCATGTGGATCGACCATCCCTCCTTGACTCCGAGTGTTTCACTGTTTGAGTGCATTTTGTAGATGAAGTTGGGTGGTCGATGCACATGTCCAGATTTCATTTGAGTCAATTGACCCGTCTCTACAATGGTAAAGATGCTATTCCCTTACGAGTCCTAGTTAGTTATGGCAGGTCTCATTTCTTTATCTACCATCAATGTCCAACTCCGTGTCTAGATTGAAGAACTCAGTCCATAGAGTTGTATTAGATCAAGAATTTTAATATAAGTCATGATTCTCAATTTTGATCGAGATTCTTAGTTTGAGAATAAAATAACATCCTTAAAATCTATAAAAAGCAGATGATTGTGGTGCGAAGTACTCTAGTGCACTTACACCATTCGACTGGCAGCAAGTCCGTCCCGTTATCTTAGGGAAGAATTTAGCTTATTGCTCTCACTTTTGTCAATTAGCAAGTTTTTCCGATAGCCGATTGTATGCGCTCAACTTTTTACGCTTCCCCAAACAATCATTTATATCATTCACTACATAAAATTAACTAAACTAGTGGTTTCATTTCATTCATTGATGCCTTTCATCTTCAACACTGGAAACTTTTTCAGATCAAAACCCTCATCCTGATCATCAATGCAAAAACAAAAATGGTTTTCTGATGAATTTCTCTACAAATTTAAGGGCTTTGGATTTGGTCACCTTAATTCCACACAAAAAGTTCAGATTTTTGAGCCACTTCCCACTGATGTAATTCTTGTTTCTCTCCCTAAAACTGACGTTACATGGTTAAAGCTCTTTTACATTCCATTATTTTCAGATCTTCAAAAGAAAAATTCCTGATTTTTAATCACCCCCATGAACTAATCCCATCTCTGGAAACAAAACTATATCTTGAATCCTATGGAAAACCCCCCCTAAATTTAGGATTGAAAAAGCTAGAATTCTTGGAACATATTACTTACCAGATTATACGCGGTGTTCTCAATTCCTCCGACTGAAAATTGTTTATGTTAGAAGAAATCCAAAGGAAAGTCGCGTTGCACTTTGACATTTCATACAAAAAGTGAAGAAATTTGACGAAGACAGAAGATCCATGGACATCAGAGGCTGCTGTTGATCAGTTCTGCAATGGGGTAGTACCTTTCTGTCCGTATCATGATCATATTTTGGCATAGAGGGAAGAAAGCCTTAAAAGGCCATCGAAAGTGTTTTGTCCTACTTTCGAGGAACTTAAGGAAGATGTAAACAAGCAAGTGAAAAGATTGGCTGAATTCGTAGTGTCCATTTGAAGGTGAGAATGAAGAAGAACTTGAAGAAATTACGAAGAGACGAAGAGTTGTAGCTTTGAAACATTGAGTAATCCCGAGATATACTAGTCTAGTGTGATGCAGATGTGTTTTCCATTGCCGTATAATTCATTTTTCATATGCAAGTTCATGAGCCACAAGGTTCACCGTCTGGCTAACCATTGCCTCCATTGAGCAAGGGCGGGTTTAGTACGGGGGCAATGGGTCACGTGTCCCTCACTCAATTTCAAATCCTTTAAATCTTTTTTTTTTTCTTTCTTTTAAATTTTTTTTTTTTTTTTAGTTATCGATTTTGTTCCCAAAATTAAGGTCATGTTCGGAAGGGATTAAAAGCCAATTAAAATTGAAAATATGGTCGTTATTGGGTCTCACTCGTCTAATAAAAGTCAACAATACGACTATATTTTCAATTTTAATCCAATTTTAATCCCTCCCATACAAGGCCCAAAAATTTGCCTCCACGATTTTAGTTATAGCCACGACTCAAAAAACCTAACTCCACCCCAGCGGCGTTGAGAGCTTGCCGTAAATACAAAATCACGATGATCTTTTATGCTCAGACGTAGTCAATAAAACCTTTCTTAGAGTGTGTTTGAGCCACATTATTTTGGAATAGTAGATTGATGGAGAATGTGTGGTTGAAAAAGAAGGAAAAATTATTGATGTGATGGAAAATATTATTTTATTGAAAAATGTGTGGTTGAAAATGAATAGAAGAATAGGAATGAAAATTTTAACGCGTTTCAAACAGGACTTAATTGAAATGTATGTAAATTTTAAATTCAACTCTTCGCTTGAGTCAATCGAGTCAAGAAGTTTCATTACAAAAGATCAAAACGTGCCAAGACTTTCTCAACAACCTGAAAGGGAATTTTGGCTCGGGACTATTTTCAAAAATTACCTAATTTCCTCACCTTTGCGCATTCTCCGTAGTCGATACTCCTATACAAATACGTAGTTTCTATTTTTCCGTATATTTTATAGAAAAATAAGAGTGTGAAGCATCTGACCTCCGATTTCTTGGCTTCTCTCTCTAGCGAATCATCTATCTCCGTAAGCTCGATACTTCTATTTTACAATTTAATTACTTATCGTTGACCCATTTCTATCTCCCTTATATTGTAATTCTCCTTTTTTCAGAATTTGTAAGTTGAGATCAGTGTTAGATTCGTATAACGTACAGTGAGTTTATTTTCTTGA